TAAAATGAGCAGCTTTCCTCTCCAAACCTCTTTTGATCAATATTCTAATTTCTTCAATTTGCCTGGCTATAGTCTGGTGAGACAAACTGATTTTTGAAATACTGCCAACCCCCTTTCAGGGCAAATCATATCTGCCATGATTTCCATACGTTGCTTAATGAATTTGGCATCAGTAAATGGTTTTGGTTTTTTGCTATTAAATACGCTACCACACAACTAGCTTTTACAACAGATTCTAGCTGAATTATAACTTAAAAACAATTTTTTGTTAAGACAGGCTTTTTCCAGTTCTATTTTGTCTTATGACACAATGTAATTAATGCCTTTTAAAATTACAGTCTTTGAAAACTTGCACAAACTCCCTACAAATTAAGCAGTGCCTCACTAATTGCCCTAACAAAAAAGTAGCTGTTTACTTCTCATTCAACAATCTTGCTTCATCCATGATTTTTCTTTTTTAGGGTTGTTTTCTTTTGAGACGCTGTAGAAACGATGCTGGGATTAAATCAATAATAGATAAGGGACTATCTTTACTTTTGTGATGAAAATTAGCTGACAAGAAAATAGAAAGCAAGGTTTGGGTCCTTTCACATCCTCAGCTGCAGATGCAGGGATAATTTGTAAACTGCAGCGGGCAGTGTGTGAGGCACCACTGGGAGATGGAAGTACCCATAATAATCCAGGAAGAATGTTTACCTGACTTCTCAATATTAAACGACCAATGTTGCAATGGTACACTGAAATATTGATAATCACTCCCTTGACAAGTCACCATGACCACATGTAACTTCTGATGGTGTTAATTCCACTGAGCTTGGAAGGATGCATACAGAGCATACGTATGTTTACTTTATGTGACATTGTGACACAACTGTTGTCTACAAAGTTCACACTTGAGAACCGTGCAATCAAGTTCCACCAAAATAACCAAATACACACCTCGTATTGTAAATAAGTTTAGGATTTTTTTTGAGCCACAGGTTGGACACCCCTGAATTCTAAAATGAAAACGGTTTACTCCTTGGGCACTGAAAAGCTTTGAATGGTCCTCCCAGTAGAATGCCATTATATTATTCCTGAGCTATCACTCCACTCAGTCTCCCCATTTCAGAATTTACTCTCAAGCTTCCTAAATAGGAAGATAACTAAAATGCAATACTATGGGAACATACAAGAGATTTAAAATTTGGAAAGCCAGAATTAAAGTCTCTGAGCCATGTCAGCTGTGAGATCCTGGGTTACATTTGATCTCTTTCTGAAGAAAAGTTATCCATTAGCTTTTAAGTTGTGAGGAATGAACAGTGTGACTGGGAAACCTATTCCAAGTGACAATTTTCTAATCTGTAAAATGGGAATTGTACCCATTTCCTAGGAGTGTTTCTAGGCATATTTAAATGCTCAATGTTATATTGAGTATAATCAGAAACCACCACAGAAAAGCCCTAACACAATTAATTTGAATTCAACAGTGCCAGGTGGCGCCTATGGCTCAAGGGCAGGGTGCTGGCTCCATATGCCAGAGGTGGTGGGTTTAAGCCCAGCTGTGGCCAAAAACTGCAAAAATAATTCAACAGTGCCAAAATCAAACAGGCCTTTTCTGATTTACCTTATTAAGACCTTAAAGAACAATCAAGTATGGTGATCATATTTACGTATTCACCAATATTTTTTGAACAAAATCTCAACTGAACGTGAAACTTAATTCTTTCAATTTTGAGTGTTTTAACCATAATTCAAAAAGAAATGGAGGGAAATAGTGAACAAAACACATATTAGGCTCGGCACCTGTGGATCAAGCGGCTACGGTGCCAGCCACATACACCTAAGGTGGCAGGTTCGAATCCCCAGCCTGGGCCCGACAAACAATGGCTGCAACCAAAAAAAAAAATGGCCAAATGTTGTGGCAGGCGCCTGTAGTCCCAGCTACTTGGGAGGCTGAGGCAGGAGACTC